TCTAAGATTTGATTTACATTTCTAATTAAAATTGTTTTTGATCATACGTATAGATAATTATATAAAAATTCCAAAATTCTAAAATTTCAAATACATACAAAAACAATCATATGTAAATTTTAAATTTGTGAATATTAAAATTTTATATTTTAATTACATATATTCACCCTGCGCAAGGCGCAGGTCTTATCCTAGTAGTAAACTATAACATTTGGATGATATCATTGAAATCTAATATAAATTAGATAGATTAAAAAAATATCAACAAATATGATCTTATTTATAAGTTTTATATTAACGGTTCATGCTAAATATTTATGTTTAGAGATTTATGACATAATGGTTGAAAATTATAATTAGTCAATGATTATTAATATATAAATATTATTTAGTGTATCCATACGAATAATCACCTAGTCATTTATTTTCAAAGATAGCTATAGTGCATTATTTGTAGATAATAATTACATATATGTACAAAGTGTTATAAACGAGAGAAAACAAAACTCAAAAAAGGACGCACCATATGTTGAAGTTGTTATGTGTGTTTATTACGTGGAGTCTACATCACTATGTGTGTACCATAATTTTTACTTTTTATTTCTATAGAAAACAAAAATCAGAAAAGAATGCATTGTATTTTAAAATTGTTATGTGAATATTTATTATGTAGAGTCTACATTATTATGCGTGTACAATAATTTTAACTTTTTACTTTTATATATATGATTGTAAATGTGAACCTTATTCTCTCTTCTCTCTCGTTATAAGATTTCTTTGTAATAATTTATCTTATATCTATATTATCTTTTTCATACGGATATAAAATTTCACATTTTTAAATTTTCTGATGCTACGATAATTCTTTTTATAGCACATTATCAGTATTATCACTCTAAAATTCAGTAAAAATTATATGTATCATATTTACTCTGATATAATGACCAGTACTATTATTTACGTATATTAATGTGGGTGGTATATTGCCTTACTAGTAAACTTTAATTGCTATCTATACTATAATTATTGGTTTGGTTGTGCCGCTGCAAAATTTATTTAGTGTTTAAAAAAAATAATTTTATCACCATAATAATATTGATAATTATATGTTAATTATATTTGTGTTATTGTATAAATTTTTGGTCACCTATATAAAATTATTATGAAATTAATGAATTTGGTTGACTGGATATTAAGATATATTTAGACTGGTTTTCGGTTTAAACGATTTAATCTTAACGACCACAAAGAATTTTATTTTAAATTTTTATTCTTTTTCAACGACTATAAACAGTAATTTTTATCTATAAATATACTTATTCTTTATTCATTCAATTCATAAAATATTTTCATCTTCTCTTAAATACTTTCAAATAATTTTCTTTTTAAAGAAAGATGACTCATTTATTTTTAGTTTTCTATACAATTATAATTTCGCTTGTATGTACGGTCTTTTTATTGGAAAATTACTCTGATAAAATTAATGTGCTTTGCAACACGTGAGAAAATAATTTTTTAAATAATATTATAAAGATTTTCTGTCAGCAAAAATATTAGTAATGTGACAAGTTAGTTTAAGCCCAAATTTAAATGTGAGCTTCAAAAATAACAATATATCAACAACTATGGTCCATATAATATTTATCAACCCTTATATTCATGCTCAAGTGTTATATATTATTTTAGACTTTATAGATTTACAATTATTGCAGAACATTAAGGTTTTATGAGAATAATTTTTTTTATTAAAAACTCATCCTGTACAAGGTACGCGGATTGTTAATTATTTTAGTATTCAGTTTTGTGTTTTCTGATGTCAACAATGGGCCCTACTACTAGTTATGAAAACGTGATCTTTTTTCTTTAATGAAACGTAATCTTCAATGGTGCTTATCCTGCAATAATTGAAAAAAAAAAAAAAAAAAAAAAAAAAAAAAATTTTTTTTTTTTAATATATATATATTTATAAATCCCGAAGAGGGCATCAATGTCGAATACAAACCGGACTCGAACAAAATGAACTAGATCAACATTTTACAATTCTAGTTTCGCATTACCACCTATCCGACGCGTTCTGCTAGAAAGCTTAATAATCACTAGTCTACCAATAACCGTTCTCTTCTATTGACGTTAACCCCGGGGAGGTGGGCTTTACCTCTCGGATGCCGGAGTCCCCAAGACGTCGCCTGAAATAGCTGGTTATCGATGATCTTGCCAAGCTGTATTCTTCATTGTCCATTAAGCACAAGACGACCAAAGGAGAAAAGGGTCGAAGACAACCATACCTGAGTAAAACTGTCGATACCCCACTATACAAACAACTTCACCTTTGCCGCAAAGGACAGGCTTGAGCTTAGCACCACACACCTTCTAATAACGACTCCAAAACCTGCACAAACCAGCCAAGAACACTACCAACCAAGGATCAAGTGACCTTCGATCAGTACTGGGATATGTACTTTGGCCAACCATGACACTGGAACGAGCAAGGAAAAACGACCTAGACTCGCAACACCGGTTGTCGTCTTTGAGAACCAAAGGCGAAAGGCTGTGACAATAAGAGACATCCCCTGGTGTCAACAGAGGAGAGCAAAATGAAGTCCAGGAGATCGAAACTCTGAGAAAGAAGCCGTCGCTGCTTCCTAGAGGTACCAGAACAGTGACAAGATGGAGCTTCCGAAGAGAGGAGAGACATCAGTTACTCATCAAACATGGCCATAGACGACCAGAGTCCAAGCTAACCGAGGAACCCTCGCGAGACCCTAACCGAGCTGAGCACCACCACCTGCTGCATACCACAACTCGCGGACTGCATCCAGATAACACCGGAACACTCTAGACTCAAACGAGGAGGAGACGACCCGCATCGACACCGACGCAAGACCGTGATTCCAACCGCCAGAGCCAAACGCCGCCTCCAAGAGATAACTCCGCGACACCGCAAAGTAAAACCGGAGGAGCATTTCATCAGCCCCAAACTCGAGCGCTAAGACAACAGAGAGAGATCTAAAATTGGAAACGCGATCTACTCTCAACCCTAAAAGCCGACCTCACCGATAGAGACTACTCGTCACTGCCGCGTTAAGACACCAGAGCATCTGAACCACCACCACCGACGACACTCCTCGCGAGCGGAGATCTGGACGAGATGGGGACAATGAACCAGGGCCACCAACAAGACGGAAGCAGAGCAGGAACCACGGGGAAGCAAAACGAAGATGAGACGAGGGAGAGGAAAGCCTCCGGCGCCGGTACGCGTGCTCACGCGCCGTCCGACGCCGGAGCAGATTCAGATTTGCTTTATCGCAGAGAGAAGGTACAGCGGAGGAGAGAGAACTGATTTAAGTGAAAACAGGATCTGCAATAATTGATTTACTTTCACTCGATATATGTTATATGATTATATTTATGTGGTATGTCTGATCTCTGCCAGCCATAAACAAAAAATGGATAAAAGATGGAGTCTTCAAGGTACGACGGCTCTTGTAACTGGTGGAGGCAGCGGAATCGGGTCCGTCTTTCTCCTGTCAACCTTATATCAAATTTTCTAATCTTCTGCTATTATTTAATATATCGATACATATCTTTATTCTGTGGAAAATGTTAGGCATGCCATAGTAGAGGAACTAGCCGGTTTCGGGTGTAAAGTTCATGCATGTGATCTATCCGAAACTCTGCTCAAACAAAGTTTATGTGAATGGGAGAAGAAAGGGTTTCAAGTGAGTGGTTCGGTCTGTGATGTATCATCTCGTTCCGAGAGAGAAAACCTTATGCAAACCGTCTCAAAGATGTTCAACGGAAAGCTCAACATTCTTGTAAGTGAAATTTTAGTTTAAAAGTAACAAAAGATATTCTTTTAAGAAAACTAAATCTTAAACAGTGACATTTATTGAGCCGGCCTGAGATTTTTAAAGGCTTTAAATGATTTATTAAGAACTTTGGCAATTTTTTTTTAACGATTTGGCCAAATTCATATATATATTAAACCCAAACAAATTTGAGGTTACAAGATCCATATTTTACTTGGTTTATTCAAAGACTGACAATATGATTTTTGTTTCTCATCTTTTTTTTTTCTACGTAGGTGAACAACGTTGGCGCCGCTCGCGTAAAACCAACAATTGAATGTCTGGAAGATGATTTCTCGTTTCATATCTCAACAAACTTGGAGTCTGCTTATCATCTTAGCCAGCTTTCACATCCTTTCCTAAAAGCTTCAGGATCTGGAAGCATTGTCTTCATTTCTTCATGTGCAGGGGTTGTTTCAATTAATTGTGGAATATCCATCTATAGTTTAACCAAAGGTATATATAGTATTACTAGACGAAATACAATTTTCAATGTTTTTTTTTTGTAAAAAGAAAAAGTGAACTTCTCTCCTTCTTGTTTTGTGCAGGAGCTTTGAATCAACTAGCAAGAAATCTGGCTTGTGAATGGGCCAAAGACGGAATAAGAGCCAACGCCGTCGCTCCTAACTTTATCAATACTGCTCTGGCTCAACCTGTAATAAATGACACATTCCAACTTTGTTTTCTTCTTTCCAATTATCATCATCAACTTCTCTCATTCTTGTTTCTAAATCTTGTGAATAACCAGTTTCTTGATGATGCGGGTTTTAGCAAGAGTGTGTCCAGTAGAACTCCACTTGGTCGCCCTGGAGAACCAAAAGAGGTTGCATCACTTGTGGCTTTCTTGTGTCTACCTGCAGCTTCATATATTACTGGTCAGACCATTTGTGTTGATGGAGGTCTCACGGTGAATGGCTTCTCCTATCAACCACAGGCTTGAGCTGAGATTTGCGTGTTGGTGATGCAGCGTACAAGTCTATTTTTCTTCTGGTGTTGGGGTTCTGTATTAAGGTTGGCAGTGTATTCGTGCTTTAGTTTATGTTTTGTTTTTAACTTTACTTTTGATCATTAATAAAATCCAAAATGAAGAAACTCATGTAGTTTCCCATCATTATTGACATCCAAGTAGTTTGTAATTGCTTCTAAGTTAAAGAATGGAGAACCAAAAAATAAAAAGCAGTCCCCAAATAATCAACAATAACCATGTAAAAACGAGAAAGAGAAATGCTCAAACACCATTTTGAAACCAGAGAGCATTTGTGCTTTTCACTAACCACTTTCAAAATACCTTCCTTTAGCTTCTCATTCTCTCAATTCTATTTTTTTTTTTATGTTGGGTTCTATATTAGTTTATGGCATAAGTAGATTCGTGCTTTAGTTTATGTTTTGTTTTAAAACTTTGCTTTCGATATTACTAAAACCCAAGAGGAGGGAACTCTTGTAGTTTGACACTAGGCCCTCCTCATAATCATGAAGAAACAGCTGGCTGCTACCGACACTTTGATTCATGCCAATTAATATGTGAATAGTGCACGAAATAGCTTAAAACGTGCTCTAAGCAAAACTTTGTTCTGATTTCTAGTTTCGTTGTCTGTGAAGTCGAAAAAGACAAAACGTGATATTTGTTTTAGTCGACAAAACGAGATATTTTTTCCGCATGGGACAAGGTACATAAGACATCTCTAATGGCTATCCTTATTTTAAAAAAAAAAGTAAACTGAAAATAAATTTACATTTTTCTCCAATAATTCTCCTCATTTCTCCCTTCAAAGCAGTAAAAATTTTATAAATTAATAATGCCAAGATTTTGATATTTTATTAATTTATAAAAATATTCCCTTTTTACATTTTTATTTAAAATATATAATTTTTATAAGCAAAAAAATATTTATTTTAGTACATATAGATTAATTTACATTTTGTAGTTCGACACTTATACTAGTTTCTTTAATTATTTGGAGTTTATAAAAATGTGTCATAGAATTTAAATATGATTTTACATATGATTTTACTAAATTTCATAAATATATATTAGGTGTTGAGAAATATAAAGATAATTCAATGTAAAACAAACAATATAATTCTTGGTTTGTACTTATATAAAATGTATATACATAATTATTAATTTATAATTTTAATGAAATCATATATTTATTTAGGAATTTCTATAAAATTATTATCTTATTATTTTATTGATTTGTGTCATATGATCCAACTTAGAACGCTGCGATTTATTAATGTATAGTGTTTATTAATTTCTTAAGTTTATACTATATATAATGTTTTTTTTTTGACATCGATTAACAGACTCATATTGACTGCAAACCAAACTAGTAATTCTTCATCCATGTGAACAACGAAAAACGATTGTTTTCTAGCACTGCGTGCTAGAATATCCGCCAGTGAATTCAATTTTCTTAATACATAGATGATTGCTGAGCTATAGAAATTCCCTTTAAGCGTCTTGATATCTTCCATAAATTTGCAAAGACTGATCATTCGTCTGATTCTGACACCATCTTCACCAATTGAGAACAATCGGTTGCAAAAGTAATGTGATATTGACGCAAATTCCTTATAAACACTTCCACCTCAGAATGAAGATGTGATAAGCTAGTTCTAACATACAAATTTTATGTTACTACTACTTTTACTAACTTTAATAATAGCCCTGTTCGTTTATAAATGATGCGTCAAGCAGTAGCGGCTCGAAAATGCACTATAACCTCCGCTAATTCAACACAGGTAAGTCAACGCCGAACTATTTATTCAGCCGCTGCGGTAAGTAGAAGCCAACAAATCTGACGCTAAAAATTTCTGCGTCAGTTACACTTCCATTTTCTTGTCTCCGATGGTCCACTGGCGACTGCTTTTAGTTTCAGCACCACTAAATTTGATTTTGTTGTAGCTTTATTTTTCACCGCTGCCGCTGATTTTAGCGTTTATGAAACGAACAGGACAAATGGTTATTGGTTTCTAAAACATAAAAATTGTACTTGAACGTGATTTTCTTTTAATTGAATTTTCATTATCTACATAAGTTTTGTTTCTAAAAAGATACAAGGATTTATTAAAATTATAATTATATTATGAGAGTATTAATAGTTACTTTGAAGTATATGGCATAATATTGAGTTTTTATATAAAATAAAATTATATGAAGTTTTAAAAAATAATTTATAAATAAAAAATTAACACGAAATGATGAAACACTATTCATAACTCATTTTTCTCTTAAAATAATACATCATTGGGGAGACGTTTTTCCTTTATTTTAAATGTTTTCCTTTAAAATGATGAATGGTTCAGTTCCATCATTCATATTATTTCAGTATCTCAGCATTTAAAGAAAAAGAAAAAAAATAAGAAAATGAGGAAGACATAGAACACTACAAGAAAACACGGCAATTCTGACGGATATTCCGACGAAAAATGTAATCCTTGGTAAAATCCGAGGGAGAGGAAACCCAAATTTGGGTTTCCTCGAAATTTCCTTGGAAATTACCGACGGAATTCTGAGGAAAGCGTATTCCTCGGAAAAAATCGACGAAGATCCGAGGACATTCCGAGGCAATACCGAGGAGACCAAAAGTTTGGGTTTCCTCGGAATTTCCTCAGAATATACCGACGGAATTCCGAAGAAAAACGAATTCCTCAGAAAAACCGACGCAAATCCGAGGTTATATTATAGCCGTTAGAGAGCCGTTGGGGATTTTAAAAATTCCGAGGAAATTTCGAAGAGTTAGCCGTTTTCGTCGGAATTTCCTCAGAATTGTCAGCACATTTCATCTATAAATACAAGCACCCTCATCCTCTTCATTCACTCCATATCATCATCCTCTCACATACTATATTTACACACGAATTTGATTGAAAAAATCATGTATTCTTCTAATTATTATCGTTCTTGGATCGATCGACCTCATTTGGATCCTAACACGAGATTGCTTAAGGAACATTGACTACAGAAGAAGTCAACCAGATTTTCGAAGAGGTAAAATTTTTGAGTAAATTTTAATTTGTTTATATTAATTCTATTTTATTAATTAATATTTCAATATTAATTATAATTCCTTTTTTTGAAACAAGGTGGCTCCTACAAAGAAGGGACAGACAGTGTGATAGGCTCCGTTAACGAAGTTCCAAGGGCAACTTCTTTGTACACTTCGAGACGGGATGAGAAAACTTCTCAGATGCGGTCTCAGATGCGGTCCCAGTAGGAGCGTTTGGACTCACTTGAGGATTTGTTGGACATCATGGCCACCGATAACCCGCTTATGCAGAGAGCGCTAAATGAAAGACGAGAAGCTCTCGGAATCCAGCAACATCCTCCCGGTTCAACCGGTCGACCCGGCCCGGAACTCAGCCGCCCCGACGAGTACCTCCGCACCAACATGCCGTAGTTTTTATTTATTTTGTTTGCTTTTGTATTATAAATTTATATATTATTTTATCAATTTTTTAATATAATGTTTTTTAAACAAGTTTAATTTTAAAATTTTTGGTTTTGTATTTAAATTACGAAATTTATAAATATATAAAACTTTTTAAAAATTATAAATTATAAATACACACCCAAGTAATTTCGTTGTAAACTTTACAACGACTTAACATCGAGTTACAAGTAAGTTCGTTGTAAATACAACTTTACATGTTCTACTTGTAATCTACTCGTAAATTTACATGGACTTAACATCGAACATTTACGTGGAAATTACGTCGAAGGGAAACGAGGACTTTACGTGGCAGGTTAACGTCGAGGTTACGACGAAGTATTCTACTTCTCTTTTACAACAAAAAGTATTCCTCGTAACGTTACATGGACTTTACGATGAAATGTGCATTACGACGGGCGATTAACAACGAAACATGTTTCCTAGTTAATTCGTCGTAAAGATCCTATTATGACGAATTAACCACGAATATAGCCCTAGTAAAAAATTGTTTTCTCGTAGTGATGGAACACAAAAACAAAATGTTTCTTAATTAAAACTCTTAACTAACATTTACTACTAAAAAAAATCACTAAGAGATCCTAATAAAGTTGTAGGGTTAATCATGCTCAATGTGAGTACTAGTTTGTGGTTTGAGAAATATTCTTGGTCAACCATACGACGGATCGAAATAAGTAGTATTATGAGTTCATGACTTAAATTTAAATTTATTCATTTGTATGGCCAAATGGTGTGTATATATAACTCACATAAAAAGACAGAGCCTATCCATCATGGTGGATTGGCTCCTTAAAAGTTAGTCTGAACATTGATGATTGGCAAAACATTATTAATTATTATCCAATCAATATTTGTTATACAAACATTTTAAAAAGCATAATGCTCAGCTTGGGACACCCCAAATTTAACCAAAGAAAATATATATGCATATTCTTTTTTTGATCAAATATATATATATATATATATGTATATATACATTCTTTTTTTTGGTCAAAAAAGAAGAATGTATATATACATTCTTGGTCGCTTGACAACCTTCTTAACTTTCCGAGAAACTTAATATTTCAAATTATTTCTCTACTCTTTTAGAAAGATTAGTACGTATGAGGGTTACAGAAAACGTAAGCAAATATATATAGATAAAATATATCAATTTGCATGAAAACTTCTATTAATTTTGTATGTTATGTATATTTATGCATCTAATTCGGCAAATTCAAATAAGAATTGAATGATCAAGTCTTCTTTTTCTTCATTTCCAAAAGGAATTGATCCATCTTTATTTTTGTATACGAATACGAATATTTAAAGTTCATTGTTTAACAGTTTCAAGATATCTTCATCCATGTCTTCTATATAGGATAGTGGCCATTACCAATACCAACGCCTTTTCTACGCGACAGACAATGTGACGTTCTAATCATATATATAAGTTGTGTATAAATTTTTTTATTAAAAGATAATGTCACTGTCGCACTAATTCTGATTAGGAAGACATTTTGGAGGAAATTCCTAATGAAATTTTCAAGGAATTAACAAAAAGATTTGTTTAACCATTTATAAAAAGTCAAATACTCATCTGAAGTTTGTGTAGCTTCTTGATACAAACAAAAAAAGTTTGAATATGAAAAAGTCGAACTTTCTTGGAGCTATAAATAGATACAGCAGTGCATAAGTAACTTCAAACTCTAAAACCATCAATGGCAATTACCTCCAAATCCATAGCTCTAACAATAATCTTCCTATCACTCTTTTTTTCCTGTGCCTCAAGTCAACAAGAAACCAAGTTTCTAAACCATGGCTTTCTTGGTGCTAATCTCCTCAAGTTCGGCTCCTCCAAGGTCCATCCAAATGGCCTCTTGGAGCTGACAAACACTTCGATGAGACAAATTGGTCAAGCCTTCCACGGCTTTCCCATACCCTTCTCAAAACCTAACTCCTCAAACTCTATTTCTTTCTCCACAAGTTTCGTCTTTGCCATCACTCCAGGACCCGGTGCACCAGGCCACGGCTTAGCTTTCGTCATTTCACCCTCCATGGACTTTAAGGGGGCCCTTCCTAGCAACTACCTAGGCCTATTCAACACCTCCAACAATGGAAACTCTTTAAACCGTATCCTCGCAGTTGAATTCGACACCGTGCAGGCCGTTGAGTTGAGTGATATTGATGATAATCATGTTGGTATTGACCTAAACGGAGTGGTCTCCATTGAGTCTGCACCAGCTGCATATTTTGATGACCGAGACGCGAAGAACATAAGCCTAAGGCTGGCAAGTGGAGACCCAATTAGAGTCTGGATTGAATACAACGCTACAGAGATGATGCTCAATGTTACATTGGCTCCTCTAGAACGTCCAAAGCCGAACATACCTCTTCTCTCCAGAAGAATGAATCTTTCTGGCATCTTATCCGAACAACACTATGTTGGATTTGCTTCGGCAACCGGGACGGTTACAAGCACACATCTGGTTCTAGGCTGGAGCTTCAGCATAGAAGGGAAAGCAACAGAGATTGACCTAACAAAGCTTCCTCCTATTCCAAACCCTCCGTCTCCGTCTTCTCCGCCCTCAACTCCTCAAGTTACAGTCAAGAAGGATTCAAACAACACAAAGATCATCATAATCTGCGCTGTATCAGCAACAGGCGTAATCATGATCCTTGCTCTCTTAGGGTTTTGGGTCTTCCGTAGGAAGCAAGTTTTCTTCACCGGAAGCGCAAGAAAATTCTCTCACCAGACGATTTCAAGCGCAACGGGAGGTTTTGACAACTCTAGACTTCTCGGAGAGGGAAACTCTGGAAGTTTCTACAAAGGGCAGCTTACTCCTACAGAGATTATCGCAGTGAAGAAGATTACTTGCGCCACAAGGCAACAGAAGACAACCCTAATAGCAGAGATAGCTTCTATCTCAAGGCTTAGACAAAGAAACCTAGTTAACCTACTTGGTTACTGCAGCAAAGGTAACGAGGTTTATCTCGTTTACGAGTACGTCCCCAACGGTAGCCTGGACCGGTTCTTATTCAGCAATGACCGACCGGTTCTCACATGGTCAGACCGGTTCTGTATCATAAAGGGTATTGCGGCTGGACTTCAGTATCTACACGGGGAGGGTCAAAGACCTTTGATTCACGGAAACGTGAAAGCCAGCAACGTACTCTTAGACGAAGAGCTGAACGCTAGACTAGGAGACTACGGACAAGGAAGCAGGAACAGCACCACGGGACACGTGGCGCCGGAGCTTGTCGAGACAGGGAAGGCTACACGTGACACAGATGTGTTTGGTTTTGGGGTGTTGGTTATGGAGATTGTCTGTGGAAGGAAAGCCATAGAGCCGACAAAACCACCTGAAGAGATCAGTTTAGTGAACTGGGTGCTTCAAGGGTTCAAGAAAGGAGAACTGTTACAGAGATGCGACACGAGGATGAATAGAGAGGAGTTGGTTGCTAGAGAAGTGTTACTGGTTTTGAAAACCGGACTTCTGTGTGCTAACCGGTCTCATGAAGCTAGGCCAATGATGAAGCAAGTGGTTCGGTATCTGGATGGTACAGAAAGTCTTCCTCATGATGACTACCTCTTCTACGGAGTCTAAAAGAGGGTCGTATCTGAAGCATTTGCGTTTTGGGGTTGTGTGAAGTAAAGATTTGACCGAGACGCGTTAAACATGATGATGTGAATAAACCTAGAAATTGTATTCTCCAGTTGTAAATGTGAAAATAATAATAAGAAAGATAATACATGACTAAGTGTTGAATAATGGATACAAAAAGTCGTTTTCGTTTGTATAAAGCTACTGAACTTTTATGTGATTACATCTTTTCTTTTTTCTGAACCACAATTATGTACATCTACTTATGAAATTTCAATGGAAACTTCTTTTGATTTTAGCCTATATGTTTTTGTGTCAAAATCCGCAAGTTATCAATAGGAACGAAACTTCTTTTGGTATTCAAATTGAATTTCGCACGTTTAACTTACAAGTTAGTGTGGCTAACCCCAAGTCTCACGAAACTGGCATCCATGTGAAATCAAATCTATAAAGAAAACAAACTGGTAAGGAAACAAACTCGACATCATTCAAGCTCACCTTAACTTCACAGAGTTTTGAAGATCTTAGTGTCTGACAGTTATAAAGAGCCTTAAGGGCATCTCATACCAAGTATCTGGAGGGCAACGAACAACTTGGTGTTGGATCTTACGCTACACCCAAACAACAGAGACTCATCACACTAAATCTTTATCCTCTGCATGTTCAGATTTAGACAATCAAGTAATGGCCATCAAAGCAGCGTTTCACTTTGTTACAAGATATTGCATTTTGGTAACGAAACAAATAAATTTTTCTTGTTAAGAAAAAAAGATATATAGGAATTAAGAAAGTGAGACACATCTGACAGAACAGAACTAGAGGTTGTAGATATGCTATGAAAACAAGAGATGCCATCGGTTATATCTTAATTCTTACTTGCGAAAGGTTGTACCTCAATGTTTAAAACAAACAAAGCCATGAAGCAGACAGAGCACCATAGACTCGGGACACTTGACCGAGTCAAAAAGGCATACTAAGAGACTCCGCAATATAAACCACTTTCTTAACCAAGTCCTGTTGTTGACACTACACTCATCTATAAAACCAAAATCCCAAAGGACAAGCATGTTTCAGCATTAAATGGAATTTGGCAGTCTATTAATGCAATATTACTACATAGAGCAACCGCAGAAGACGGTTGAGTATGACCATTCTCCTATCAAACCACAAACAAGCTGTAGAAGAATTCCTAGACAATCACACCAAACAATAATATATAACTCTATGCAAGAAACTTTTACCCGAAGATCAGAGCCATCATCAATGTCTGCAAAAAGTCTGTACTCAAGAATAGCAGCAGAGTAATATCAGCCATCAAGTTGCTGCCAAGAACAAACAGACTGACATAAGAAAGTTTGGAACATATAAGATGAAGCAACACATAGAACATAGAAATAGAAATATCTAGCAAAGCATTGTATCTTCAGAAAAAAAGATGTTCACATAACGCTGGATACTCAATAACATGATAAGGATTTTAGTGGCTGATGCCCTTCTTTGCCTTCAGTGCCTCAAGTGCTTTGTTACGCAACTCAATCTCAAGCTTCTTTGGATCTGACTCCTCCCCATTTTTACTCTTAGGACGGATCTCAGCTTCGTCCTCTGAAGAATCAGAATAATCTCGATTCTTATGTTTCAGCTTCTCACCCCGACGTTCCTCCCTTTTACGACGTCTCTCCTCTCGCCTGCGTTTCTTCTCCTCTTTTCTCGTCTTCTTTTCCTCTTTCCTTCTCCTTTTAGCTTCCTTCCTATCTTCTACATCAGAATCAGAACTGCCATTACTATCTGAGGCTGCTTCTTCCCTGTCAGACCTTTTACTCTTTCTTCCCTTTTTATCCTTAGAATCAGAAGAAAGTTTTGCATCCAGGTCACTGTTATCCTCTTTCTCAACGGAGTCCTTATGTGAAACTGGGGACATCTGTGAACCGTGCATTCTGTGACCAGAACGTCTCTCGGACAATTTTGCACTGTTAAGAAGTTGAACGGACCAACGTTTAGCATACCATAAAATATCAACGTCAAAAGATATTATATGGAAAAGGAAAAAAAGAAACAAAATGCACCTCTTTCTCTCTTGCTCCTTCGAATGTTCAACACGTCCAGCTACTTGTACCATCTCATTCCTCTTATCAGAATCAGGCGACTGCACATGAGTTTTCTTAGACAGCTTTGATTTTTGATCCCTCTCCTCTCTGCAGGCAATGAGAAAGAAGAAAGATGGTTAAGAAGTTAACAACTATAGATAAGAAGAATCTACACGTAACTTAAAACAGTTTATAGCACATTAAAAAAGTATCTACCAAAGTAAAATGGTGAAAGAAATCACCAAAAGCATACCTATCTCGCACTTCAGATGGATGTCCCGGAGATCTGTCCCTCTGATGTTTTCTTACACTAGGTGAAGGAGATCTACCTCGAACAGGAGGTGAGGGCGACCTAGACGAAGATCTGCTCCGAGATGGAGACCGTCTCCTTCGGCTGTCATCAGGTGATCGTGAAGCAGATGGAGATCTTCGACTTCGCCTGTTGATAGGTTTTGGTGATCTACGGCGAACAGGAGAGCGTGCTTTCTGATGTCGAGAGGGAGAAGATCTACCTCGACCTCTGACAGGTGAAGGGGATTCTGCCACGAGACGTCCAGCTGGAGACAGAGAGCCTCGCTCTTTGGCAGGTGTCAGTGACCTGCGCCTTCTAACAGGTGGAGATGGTAACCCTTTGTTCCTACCAGGAGGGGACAGTGAACTTGGTGATGGTGATTTAAGATGATTGCCTGGCTGAGGTCCTCCTAGCCTCATTGGTGATGGTGATCCAGCACGCCTAGGAGGTGGTGGAGGCAACCTTTGACCAGCAGGTGGTGAAGGCAATCTTATCCTAGCAGGTGGAGAGGGTAATCTTTGAGCAGCGGGTGCCCTGCGGCTACCCACTGGTGACGGAGATCTCCCTGGTGAATCAGACCTTTCCCGCTTAGCCAGTGGTGATCGTGATCGTGATCTGTTACGCCTGTAGAGTGGAGATGGAGACCTGCGCCGTCTAGCTACAGGTGAAGGAGACCTACGCCGCCTAAATGGCAATGGGGACCGCTGACGCCTAGCAGACGGTGATGGTGATCTGCGTCTCCTAGCAAGAGGGGATGGTGACCTGCGTCTTCTAGCAGGAGGGGAAGGTGATCTGCGTCTCCTAGCAAGAGGGGATGGTGACCTGCGTCTCCTAGCAGGAGGGGATGGAGACCTGCGACGCCTTGAAGGGGGTGGTGAGTGGCGGCGTCTCTCAGGTGTAGATACACGGCGGCGCCTTTGTGGTGATGGTGACCTGTGACGTCTAATAGGTGAACGGGACCTGCTTCCATAAGGAGAACGTATCCTACGCCGGCGAGGAGATAGAGACCTACTCAAGGAACGTGACCTGGATCGACGCCTTGAATAAGATGGTCTCCGCTTTCTAGGTGAGATGGATGCATCTGATGATCGAGACAAGCTCCTTGATTTCCGTCCACTGTTGCACAAGATCAGCTATTAGCAAAAAGTGCACTAGTTTGAAAATCAGAGGCTGCAATTTCAATAGATTCATGAAAAATAATTACGAAAGGCACATACCCAGAATAACTTCTCGATCCTGAATTTGATCTGCTGATCGACCTTGAACGTGAACCTCTGCAAAGCAACGAATTGATTACACTCACATATGCTAAAAGGCTAGACTCAGTCAAGACTAATAAGACATATTCCCAGATTCCAAGTACACACCATCCTAAAGAATACAAAAAGCATACTATGATGAACTAAATCTTGAGGTGCTCTATCTAACTTCAATAAGATAACACAATATAGGTAATAAAAACATAGGCATTTAGAGAACTCTACCTTCTCTTTTCTTTGCCTCCATCCTTTTCATCAGCTCTTCTCTCATCCTCTGGACGATCTTTGAAAGGTTTCGCGTCCATGCCATTTGTCACCTTCTGTTCAACGCCGCTGTCCTACAGTAGTTTGAGGTAAAGCACATCAACCCTTATAATTGCAGAAGCTCTAAATAACATGAAAAAACAGGCGAACGTTAAAAAAAACAAATGAACATCTATAAAGACAGAAACTCTAGCATGAACAACTTAAGTCTTACAAGTTTCCTCAATATGTCATCATCATAGCTCTTACGTTCCATCTCCTTCCTCCTCCCAATTTCATTCACTAACTCATTGTTCTGATCTGCTCTTTTCCTTGCTTCATCCTGCCACAAAAGTCATTCATCAATCATCATCATCATCAAAATTCAAACTTCAACATGATAACTTCACAACAAACAATACCTCTAACTTCTTGACTGCATCTACTCTAGCATCAATAAACTGCTGCGGAACACCACTCGCATTACTCTGCGCGCTGAGAAGAAGCGTCCAGAGCTCTTTCATGAACTTGACAGTGTTCTTCTCCATGAACCCAGTGATAGCTATCTGAATCTCCTTACCGTTGACAACCTTCTTATCAAGAAGACCGTAAATAAAGTTAATAAGCACTTCATCTTCAAATCCAAGAAGCTCAGTGACTCTAGTCGCAATCCAAGGCTTCATAACATCCATCTTCACTTTCGACACATCAACCTAGAAACAAGCAGAGAGGAGATTATCAACAATTAAAAGCCCTAATTTTTAAATCCGATTTTCACGAAAGAGAGAGAGACTACTGACCAGATTCTCGAGCTCCGGCGCGAATTTCTGGCTCTTCATCAACTTGGCTTGCTTGTTGGAGAAGCGAGTGTCCTGATCAGCGGAAGTACCCTGCAAAAAAAAGAAAAAACGAAATCGAAAATAAAGCTCGCGAAAATTGAATTGCGTCGATCTGGATCTAAAGAGATGGGCGATGAATTGTAGTGATCAATAAGAAGATGATTGAGAACTCACGCGGAAGAATCCGCCAGACATCGTTAGGGTATGTGGAAGCGATTTTTTTTTTCCTTTAGGGTTTCGATGAGAAAGATCGAAGCGTCAGAGCGATGGTGTAGATTTGAAGATGAGAAAAGAGCCCTAAATCTCACTAAATTGTTGGTGTTTTCCGTTGCTACCCTCAGGTTTATATTGAAAATCACGTTGTTGCCATTCTGGAAAAGAATCACATGTAAAGAAACAAAATTATTACAGACTATGTATGGGCTTTAGAAGCCCAAGACGTCCAATACTTGGGTTACGTGTAAAGAAACAAAATTACTGTCTCCTCCTCCTAGACGCCCCTGGATAACTGTTCCCGATGACTAGGCATGCGGCTTTTTGGTTATCCGGTTCGAATTACGCAGTTTTCGGTTGGTTCAGTTAACACAAATTGTACTGTATTAAACCGAATAAAAATTTGGTTTGGTTCCGTTCAGTTCAGCATTCGGATAGTTCGGTTAAAAACTCTTCTTTTTTATCCTAACTACTAGTTGCATACCCTCCGCGTAAGAGCGAAGTCGGAATCAATGGTGAAATGAAAATAATGTAGCAAGAGTGTAAAGTGAAAATAATGTATATATAATATGTTAAATGTTATTTATATGCGAAATAAGGTTTATAGGAATAATTAAACTATAATATATTTTGTAGTGTATAAAAATAAGTGTCTCTCTTGTTTTTTATTTTTTTATGATGTAAATAGTTTTTATATCAGAAGTCAAAACTTGATATAATTATTTCTTTATAGTATTTATATTTGTACTAAACGACTTATCAATTTGAAAATAATTTAATTTTAAGCTAATATTTGTTGTTTGGGTTTCATTAGATAGGTTAGTATATGGTTTTTTGTAAGTTTGGATTTTGTTCATGAATAATGTGGCATTTTTATTTACGGCGTCATCGACTGTGAGAATCCATTCGCCAGAGTCTGATAAAAATGAAATTATAGTAAATATGAAAAATGTGAGAGAAATTACATATTCATTTTATAAATAACGAAAAGTACTTAAATTTTGTTGTTTTTTATTTTATTTCACATACATATTTTTTTGAAAATATATATTAGGAAATATGTTATAATAGAAAATATATTAGGACATGATAGTGCCGTGTGTGACTCGTTTTCTTTTTTTTTTTTAGCATGTTCGGTTTTTGATCTATTTTTAATTGTTTTTGGGTTTAAGTTCGTTAAAATTTAGGATTTTACCCACTATTTTGGGCTTTAAACAATAAGCCCAAAGGAAAAAAAACATTAAAACCAAAAAAGCACATATGTTAATAACCGAAACGAAAAAAACTAAAATACATAACAGCTGTGTGGTTTGAACCCACATGCTTGCAGACTTAATTATATACTCATACCACTCGGCTAAAGTGTATTCATTGTTCATAGTCATTTTAGAATAAGTATAAGTGTTTAAAAAATTAAACGTGCGGAACCCACAAAATGCTGACGTGGACACATTGAAAAACCTTGAAAATGTAAATTAATCAAAGTTTTTGGTTTCCATTTAATTTTGGTTAAATACTCGGGTTCTAGATTTTTCGTTCAATTAGTTATTTTGATTCAAAATTTTGGTTACTTTGAGGACTTATTTATAATTTATTGTCGAATCAGATCAATAATCAAATTTTATTAGCAGTCCAGTTTTGATTAAATTTCAGTTCGATTTACTTGGTTTAGATAAAAAAAAATCCAGACCTACCAAAAAATTGCCTCCATAAACACAGTTGATAGGAGAATGACAAGCACAAATTTTCAGAAAAAATGATCTGCATCAACCAATCATATTCCATTGATCTTTGAATTAAATGAAAAATTATGTTAAACAAAAAACTTTATATACACTAAGAGTTTGACTGTTTCTGTTGCTACCACCATGAAACCTACATTTGTAGATGTCGGTGGTTATTGACGTTTTACAATAATCATAAAACTACTATAATCTACTTAAACCTATTGTAAACTGGTTTTCGTTAATGTTTAAATATTAGTCCATGATGGTTGGATTCTACCCCCAACAAAAGCAAACTAGAAACATCTCTTATATATTATTTGCGAAGTGATTTTGATATATGTCATCACCATATTCATTCTAATCAAAATAAGATGACATGGTAATGAAAAAAAAGATGACATGGATTTAGAAAAAAGTGACATGAGGTCACATTATTTATAATAAGTAAAACTTTCTTATAAAAGTTTATATTTTTGGTAATGATTTTTAAATATTATAATAATAATAGCTCATATATTATCATTAATCTAAATTTTACATATAAAAATTTATTTTTGATAAAACTATTAATATATTTGTTAACTTATATATATCACATGTTTGTTGCGGAACAAGTAACTGGACTAATCCCAGCAACAAACACAGCAAATTCCCAAAAAAAAAACATAGTTCTCGTGAAATATGAAATAAGAGTTTTGACAAGAAAAAAAAAACTAAAGCTGGAATTGTCCTAAAAGCATACACATTTCTCATGAGAACACTTTCTCTTTTTTGTACAATCCTCACACCATTTTTCTTTACACAATTCTCTCTGCCTCTTTGTTCACTCACTCATCAGCCTGTATGGGTAAGAAAACTACAAAATGTACAAATTTTCATAATTTCCCAAATATATTCTTTCTAGTTATTTCCCAAATATATATTTTTATTTATTTAGATCTTACCTAATTATGGCAGAGTCATCCAACCCTAGTCAAGCTGTACAACACCTTAAGCTACCTGAGGCTGCTGCAAACCCATTCTCTTCTCTGCATATAAGAAACAAATTTAAAAAACACTTTAAGAGACATTGAAATGATTATGTAGCAGATACATAGAAGAGAAGGAACATGTAGGTTACCTCCAGCAGTAATGAGTTTTTCAACACGAGCAACAATATGTTTTCCATAAGTGTATTTCTGTAAAGTACTTAGATGCACTTTAATACGGTTAAGTATATGCTCACGCTGTTGGTCATCACATGTCTCCAGAACCTTTTGCACTACATAGTTTGCAAACTGATCCTTCATCATCGCCTAAAATCACAAGATGATGATGATGATGATGAAGAAGCATATGAGCTTATTGGCTTCTTTATCTTCCTGAAAATCATATGAAAGTAATGTGTTTTGACAAACCTGAAGAGGCCCGTTTTCTTCAGTTGTGCCAAGCATCTCATTCACCAAAAATTCACGTTCCTCTGGACCTCCAAAGGTCAAACATTTCTCAACAACGTTCGAAGCAAACTTCTGTTGGCTCATCTGAACGATCTGCCCGGCTAACTCTTTGATTATCACAGTGCGTTCATCAGGTTTTCCATGCTCTAGTACATGCTGTCCACAAAAGATGTGCATCAGCTTTGAGCAAACTATATAAAATCACCAGCTAGCTGTACAGACAATCATATTCTTTGTAAAAACCTGAACAACATAGTTTCCATACTGATCTTGAGCCAGCATACTAACAGTGGAAAGGACTTCTTCCATAACCTTACTCTGTGTATCCGGGTTATCGCAGTGCTCCAAGACCCTCTGCAACAACATGAGACGAGGAGAGTGTTACATAAAAGCATAAGGTCAAGAAAACAGTACTCGTGTTTTATCACAAAGGGCAAGAACCTGGATGACACGGCACCCGTATGGGTGAGTGGAGAGAGTCACAACTTGACCAAAGAAAGTGGAAACAATGAAACCAATGTTTTCTTCAGGCACACATTCAATGCACTTCTGAACCACATGGTTCCCATTCTGATCTCGTACACATCTCATCACATGTCCATCAAGTTCTTTCACCATCTTAATTTTCTGGTCTAGATCAACCACCTCTATTGCCTAAAAGTGTATTAAACAAAAGATAATGAAACTAATGCAACTGTAACTGTTGTTGAGACTGGAAGATAGACTTGTGGAGTGCAGTAAAACGAGTGTAAATAAGAACATACTAAAAAAGACTTTTGCAGAATCAGAATTTACCTTATGGATAACACGACAACCATACATATGTAAGCTAAGAGCCAAAACGTTGTCAAAGAGCTTCTCTGTCAGTTCCCTCCTCTGTGATGGGAGTCCATGCTCAAAGAACTGTAGAACAATGATCACATTCATGAATCTTTCAAGTAAAAGTGTCTAAACTCCAGGGAAAAAAACACATAGAGTAGGCTTTAAATCTACCTTGTGAACTACATAGTTTCCAAAAACGTCAGTCATGAGGGCAAGAGCTTGTGGCATGATCTCCTCATAGACCATTGTTTTCTCATCTGTTGTTGCTGCCTCCAGTTTCTGGTTAGTAAACCGGCTCCCGTATTGATCTGTACTACTCGACCATTTCAGCAAAAAAAAGAGTACATGTTATATTTGGCACATATGACAAATGGTACATAAGAATAAAGGTAAAGACTCTCAAGGATATACCTGAACTCAAAAACATGGCCAGCTATTTCAGAAAGTTCGAACGCTCTTGTTTTGTTACTTTTGAACTTTTCAAGCAATGAAGATCCAAAGCCTCCATCCAAACTAGCATCCATGTGCCATGAATCCATTCTAGTTGAAGAGGGATAATGCATATTAACTTCACCTTGTCTCATAGGACTACCAGGTCCAAGAAGAGGATTTTTCATAACATGATGAGCCAAGGGGCTGCCAGGATACGACATATTAGATCCAAATGGACTCCCATGATAGCTATGGATGTCAGGGCTCAAGGATTTGTAAGGTACACCATACTGTGTTCTCTGGGCTCCGAGATAAGCCCTCTGAAGTTCAAGCATATCCATGTATGGATCACCCATAAAGCCTCTGTCCATTCCATGACCATTAAGAAGATCAAGTGAATCAGCATACGAATGACACGTTGGGTCATCCATTTGTGGCTGAAGACCAGCACCTCTTCCCATCATTCGGTTACTGATCCTCCTAAGATTACGTGATTCAAACATGTTTTGACCAGAAGATACAAAACCTCTCCCATGAAGTCTGGTGTCCATTCCAGAAACATCTTCATACATTGGTGAGAAGTTACTATTCCTAAGTTGGCTAGCCATCATAGAAGCTACAGATGGGTTTAAGGCGTAGTTATTAAGATGCTGATGCTGGTAAGGACCATGTAGTCCTACTCCACCATTATAGGCAGATCCTTGAGACCCTCTCAATTCTGGATTCCTCCAAGAACCATGTTCTTGATCAGATCTGTTTGGGAACCCCCGTTGATTAACTTCATTATGTCCAAACATATAGTTCCTGACCTTCTCCACATCTTGCTCAGCCTGACCATTGCCTGACAGATTCATGCTAGATAAAGCAGCGGCAAGATCAGAGGACTCGTTGAAACCAGATGTAACACCATTGAATGGGCTCTGATTATTTGTATTCCTCTTATCATTTGAACTCGCTCTTCCACTCCCAATGGGATTAAGGCATGGACTAGGCCCCCTAGCAACGGCTTGTGGATTTGGAGTTCCATTTCTATACAAGGAAGCTCCCAGAACAGCTGCATAGCTGAATGGTTGTGGCGCACCAATGCCTTGTGATGCAGATGGAGACAAGTTCTTTCCAGAGTCAATACTTTCATCAAAGGCATTACGACTTGCAGGATGTGAGGGCTGATCCACATGCCTCATGTCAGCCTGCACAAAAGCAATAGGTCAAATTTTACATTAACATGATCAAAACATTTAACAGCACATCTAAAGGTTTCACAAACCTGAAAGATATCAGCAAAACTCTTCTGCTTGCCACCAAGATCCAAACCAATGAGTTCATTAGCATCCCACTTGGATAAAGAAGCATTTCCTTTACCAAATTCATCTTGCTTTCTCATCTGATCAAAACCAGGCGGCATAGAGAACAAAGACCGCCTATCCCCAACGGTGTTACTCCCTTTTACCCTCTGAGCAACCCTCATATCCTCCCTAGACATCAAAGGAGGAGGCAACCTCGGATTCAACTTCATATTAGCATAGTAATAAGCCAAGTACTCTGGATCTTTCCTAAACTCCTCATCGTCACAACCAAACCCATTTCCCAAAAAAGGAGCCGCCGCTCCACCTTCGCCGCTGAAAAGCCCTCCAGCAGCACTGAAAGAACCGTCCACAGTCGGCGGAGCAGAGCTGCTTATGTACAAGTTAAGCTCTCTCCCAAGCTCATCAGCTTCTTGTTGCCATCGCTGCTGCTCACCAAGCAGCACACCAATCTCTTTCTCATAATCATCTCCAAAAGATGAGTCTTGGTCACCTCTAACCATCGTCCTCCTTCCTAGGTTTGGTATCATCATCACCTAAACAACAACAAAACCCAGCAAAAATCAACTACACAAATCCTAAAGATCACACATTTCTACCTCTATCTTTATATATAATCCCACAAAGATCAAAACTTTAATGAAAAAAATATGTTTTTATAGAATTGGCTGAAAAATTAGACAATGATGCAAGAACCCTTTAGGGTTTTTGTTAAATAAAAAAATAAAAATAAAACTACTGTAAGAATCATTATTAGGGCTGATCTGACATTTAGTGATTGCTATCAGAAAGAATGAAAAAGAAAGAAGACAAAAACAATAATAACTGGAGTATTGTTACAGAGCTAGGGAATCTCAAACTCAGACGTTTGAAGTTGTGTTTGAAATCTTCTGTTCTATTGTTTTATGTTTCTGTTTTAGGTTTAAAAGACACAGTTTTTTTAACAAAGTACAACACTTCGAGATGATACGATCGTCTTCAAGATTTTATTTTTATATACACATCCTAACCTTAGATTCTTCACAATTTTGAAAATATTAAAACTTTCATATTTAACAATACAAGATATACACAAAATGTTACAATCTTAAAAAGTGTATCTATTCAAATTGAAATCTCTAAGATCTCCTAATAAAAATATTTGGAAAAATATGATAGAATAATTATCATTCTTAACAAATTAAGAATATCTACCTTAAAATATATCATAACAAACTGCTTTGAAACTATTAAATTTAAGCTATTTGTTAATGGTATCATACTTTTTGTTTTTTCCTATTATTTTTTTGTCAAAAGATTTTATTAAATTAATACTAATATCGTGAAATTACAATCTATAATAAACTTTTTTTTTATTATTTGATATGATTCAGAATGATTCACCAAATACAGAAAAGGTGCAACTCTGAAACCCAAATTCTCTGGATTCGTATGTTTCCTCTCTGATAGTAGTTTGGTATTAAATGATTTGTTTGGTTGGCAAACAAAAATGTGATTAGTTTGAATAAAATCAAAATCCCAAAAGGTAGAACATTGTGAGTTTTCAGAAAATAGAAACAATCTAGTCTTTCTTTTTTACTTTAAAAAAATATTTTTATGTAGTATTTATTTTTGAAATGGGAGATTTAAATTTTGGTCACTGGTCAAACCTCTCTCTTTTATGGTCTCCTTTAATGGTAAATTAGATCTTAACTCGCACAACCACGCGAGTGTTTATTTCCAGTTTTATATACATAGATATTGTTTTAGATCATTAATGATATACATTTTAACGTTGATTATATATTTGTATGTTTATAAAAATATTTCAATTGCAATAATTTTTACATAATTAATCAGCTTCTTAAAACCGTCACATGTATTTATCTCTTTTTATTATATATTTATCTTATTGTATTTGCGTTTAGTTATTAAACAAACTAATATATTCATAAAATAACATATTTGAAAATTATTTTGTATTTAATTTATGTTAAATTCAGACCCGTCCTTCAAAGCTGGATTTCCTTTAGCAATATTTTTTAGGTTTATACATTTTAGATTATACATTATTGTATATACAAAAGATTAAAATATGTTAATTTTTAGACATGTATTATCTATTTTGTTAATGTTAAGCCGTTCTATCATTGTATTATATTTTCAACATAAATATTTTATATTTATGGAAAAAAACTTATAAATTTATCAATTTAATAGAACTTTATAATAATTAGATTAATATAATAATTTTATTTTAATATAATTGGTTATGATTGTATAAATATGATATAATTTTTCTTTATATAGGCGATAACTGAATATATCACTATATAATAATATTTTCAAACTAATTACGAGTTAGTGAAATATTTTTTAAGAAAATTAAGATCTTGTTAAAATATTTTTAAACAGATTTGTTAGAAATTATAAAATTATATTTACAATGAAAAGATATTAAATATATATTATGATTATATGTTTTCAAAGATTCTATATATTTTTATACTTAATAAATGCATTTCAAATTCTTTTTAAAAAAAAAAAATCTCGCATAAAAAATAATGATTTCAATTTTAATACAATATATTAAATTTCACATAAAAAACAATGATTTCAAATTTGCTTAGTTGTCAACTTCTCCATATATTTAGGTAATTTTGCTTATTTGTCCATTTCTTCATAATTTTATGTAATTTTTATTATTTTCATATATAAAAAAATTCTATAATTAATTATATAATTAACACGCTTCTGTCTAATAATTTTTTTTTTAGAAAATAAGATAATTCTTATTCTTTATGTTGTTATATTTCAAATATAATTTTATTACAAAATTTATAAATTATGATATAAAAATTATAATTAAATATAAATCAAGCAAAATTATTTTTTATAAATATATCTTCTAAATATTTCTGATATGTGAGTTTATTAAATTTTATGATTTGTCAATTTCTCAATGATTTTATGTAGTTTTTCTTATTTACCATATTTTTAATAATTAATGCATAATTTATTATATATATATATATATATACCTATTATTTGGGAGGTAAATATGTTTAGGTGTAAACTTCTCCATAACTTTAGGTAATTTTGCTTATTTGTCCATTTCTCCATAATTGTAGGTAATTTTGTTTATTTTTCATATTATAATTTTTTTTATATAATTAACACGATTTTGTCTAATAAATTGTTTTTTTTCAAATAAGATAATTCTTATTCTTTACGTTGTTTTATTTAAAATATTATTTTATTATAAAATTTATAAATTATGATATAAAAATTATATCTAAATAAAAATCAAGAAAATTATTTTTGTAAATATATCTGCTAAATATTTCTGATATGTGAGTTTAGTAAATTTTATGATTTGTCAATTTTTCAATGATTTTATGTAATTTTTCTTATTTACCATGTTTTTATTCATTAATGCATAATTTATTATATAACAAAAATGAATTTATAATAAAGTAATATATTTTTAGAAAATAAGACAATTTTATGTATTATGTTGTTATCTTGAAAATATATTTTATATTATAAAATTTAACTATTCTTTTATTTGAGAAGTAAATTTACTGATTTGTTAATTTCTCTATGATTTTATGTAGTTTTGCTTATTTGTCTTGTTTTTAATAATTTTGAATATCATTTATTATATAATTAAAATAATTTTATATTATTAAAATTATACTTTATAAAATAAGAATTTTTATTATTTTGGTTGATATAGTGAAAATATTTTATCTATTATAAATTTTTAAAATTTTGAGATAACAATTATAATTAAATATAAATCATACAAAAAAAAATTGTATAAATATATTTTCTAACCTATTTCTGATTTTTAAGTATCGTCATTTATAACTAATTTAATGTTTGATTTAAATTTTTGCAGACATAAAGAATAATTTATTGTACTAATTTTTGAATTAATAAAACATAAATTAATAATTATCCGTAAAAAATTATGCCTGCAATACGAGCAAAACACCTAGTTATAGATGGGTTTAAAATATTTACATCGGTTTTAATGATAAAACATTAATGATAAACCTTCTTTTTAGCTACTAAAATATAGTCATAGATGAGTTTAAAATTTTCTGATCATAATTTTTAAGCAATGGATCGTTAACATTTATATTAATTTATCCTAATCGTAAACCTAGGTCATCATGTGTGATTTATTAGTGATGGTAAAATGTGTTTGTTAACTGAACCAATATTATAGGCATTAGTTACAGACATAAATCAGAAAACATAAATATAAAATATTTAAATGATATATGATTTTCTAAAGGTCCATTTAAATGAAAAATTACACATCAAATACGTTGTGATTTTTGTTTAATATATAAGATATTCCGGTAAAATGTATATAACGGTTAGTATGGAGTAAGACCATCTCCAATGGTTTACACTAATTTTATACTCTAAAATAGAGTCACTCTATAATAGACTTGGAATTTACTCCAATAGAATTCTATTTTAGAGTGAAAAATAAAGTGATGAACAAAAAAAAAACAAGTTGGAGTAAACCTATTTTTCACTATATTATAAAGTGAGATATAGAGTACCATTGGAGTATATTTACTCTAAAACTCTATTTTAGAGTGAAAAATAGAGTGGGATTGGAGATGCCCTAATGTGATTAAATTAGTAAAGGTATCTTTGTTCTTAGTAGATCGTGCTTGGTCATGATTATGATTGCTCCCTGAAGTCCACGACTCGGCGTATGAATCGGGGATGGACTTTATAGGTGGGCTTTGATATTCGATATGTGTTTCATTATCATCCGACTTTGTAATCTTGAATGTACTAAGGCCCATTGAATATAACCTCATGGGTCCTTTGGTACACCTAGGTTTAGGCATTCGGGTAGTCGGGTTGGGTTTGGATCAGGTCCTTTCGGATCTGGATCTTTCGGATCTAAGATTTTAGGATCCAATAGGGTAATTTCAAATTTTTGGTTTTGGATCGGTTCAGGTCATACCGGATCCGGGTGGGTCGGGTCTTAGATAGTTGAACTCTTTCAGGTAACTAGAATTTATCGGTTCGGATTCAGTTCGATTTCATATCGGGTTCGGTTCGGGTTCGACCTAAAAAATACCTAAATATACAAAAAATATCTGAAAATATTTTTATATCCGAAAATATTCAAAATTTGTATTTTTATTATATTAAAATGCGTACATATATTAAACTACGCGAGATACAACAACAATTCGTTGTCTTCTATAGGTGTACATATATTAAAATGTGTACATATATTAAACTACGCGAGATACAACAACAATTCGTTGTCTTCTATAGGTTGACTCCCTTATTCTCTAGAGAAATAACCCGTCTTCAAGCCCCCTCAATACATTTTATTTAATTTATATTATTAATTTGGGTACCCATCGAGTTTCAGATTTGGAATGGTTTGGATCCAAAACCCGCGGATCCTCTACAACAAGACCCGATAGGGTAATTTGATCGGACAAGTTCCTACCCGAACCGGAGTTTTGGATCCGGGTAAAATATCCAGGCGTAGATACACCTATAT